AATGGGAAGAAAATGAAAGGACGACATGGAAAAGGAAGAGAGGAGAAGGTGGTGGTGGTGGACGAGAGAGAGAGAGAGAGAGAGAGAAAAAGAGAGAGAGAGAGAGAGAGAGCTGTTTGGTTGTGGTGGGCTAAATGAGGCAGCGTCGAAGCGGACCACGTGACGTTGCATGACTAAAAATAAACGGAAACGCTATTTGTGTGCGCCGTTGTAAGCCTCTACTATGTGCTTCTGCCCCGCCCCAGTCCATGTAAGTGTGAACCTCAACTACTTAGAGCTACCCGGCCCTGTCCCTTCCTGCACCGATCAGACCCATCGTACCCAGTCCCGTACCAAGAAGTCAGATCCTGCTTGCCCCGCCTCGTTCCATACCGCCCCTCCTGCCCTCAGCCTGTTCTGTACTGCCCTCTTGCCCTGCCTGCCTGGGTACCGTCTCCCTCTTGCCCTGCCTCAAGCCTGTACCGCCCTCTTGCCCCTGTCCCACGTGCAGACTCTTCCACGTTCTCAACCTCCACTTTTTTCCTCACCTCCCACAACACCCACCTTCCCAATCTGATGTTTCAATTGCACTCTCTCATCAATCCCTCTAACCCCTCTCTCTCACATCTCCTCACTCTCTTACCCCTTCTTCCCCCTCCCTCACTCCACCCCCCTCCCCCTTACTCTCTCATCCCCTCTCGCCAACCTTCTCTTTTCCATCACTAACCCTCCCTCACTCCACCCCCCTCCCCCTTACTCTCTCATCCCCTCTCGCCAACCTTCTCTTTTCCATCACTAACCTCTCTTGCCCTCACTCCCTCACTCACTCACTCACTCTCTGGAATCGAAGACACAAGATGGAGAGGAAACTAGGGTGAGGGGCTGGGGGGGGTGAGGGTAAAGGGGAGGGGGAGAATGAACGAGGTGGGGAATATAGGTAAGAGGGGTGTAGGGAGGGAGTGAGGGGAGGCAGTAAGAGGAGGAGGGGAGGCAGGAGGAGGAGGAGGAGGAGGAGGAGGAAGAGTGGGGAAGTGATGGGAATAAGTTAAGAGGGGGAGGAGGAAGAAGAGGAGTGAGTGGGAGAGAGAGGGAACACGAGACAGCACAAGACAGTAGCCTGGGAGGTATTGCACCACCATACCCACACCACACCACACCACATCACACCACAGATAAACCCTCCTGTACTGCCCTACTTGGACTGGTGTCAACACTACAAGAGAGAGACACCAAACACATGTTATAGTCAACACACAAGGAGACAACCTGGATCGCCAATCGTCATTCCCCAGTAGGTAAGCAACCCTGAAATATGCGGTAAACCTACGACTTGGGAAACCCTACAATGTGAGCAACTCCACAATATAAGGATCCTCACAAAACAAATAACCTCACAACACAAGCGACTTCACAATACAAGCGATCTCACAACACAAGCGACCTCACAACACAAGTGACTTCACAACACAAGTGACCTCACAACACAAGTGACCTCACAACACAAGTGACTTCACAACACAAATGACCTCACAACACAAGTGACCTCACAACACAAGTGACCTCACAACACAAGTGACCTCATAACACAAACGAACTCACAAGTGGCTCAATAATGTGGCCAAGCCTCTTGAGCTTTTTAATGTGCCCTGCAACCATCAATGAGGTGGTTGTTTTAACAGCTGCTGCAGAAGGCGAGGGGAGGAACCCAGGAAGCAGGAGGCATGAAGGGAAGGGACGAGGGGAGAGAAGAGAGGAGGGGAGGAGACATGAAGGGGGGGGTATGAGGAGAGAAGGAAGGAAAGGAAGGAGCGACACCAGGGAAGGAAGGTGACGAAAAGGGATAGAGGGATAGAGGGAAGGAGGTAAGAAGGTGAAGGGAGATGGGAAGGGAAGGAGGAAGGTAAGAAGGGAGGGAGGGAGGAAAAGAAGGGAGCATCGGAGGTCAGGGAATGGGTAAAGAAAGTAAAGTGAGGAGGAAGAAGAAATAAGGAAGAGGAGGAGGGAAGCGAGGAAGGAAAGAGAAAGAGGAGGTCAGGGAAGAGGAAAGGAGAGGAAGGAAGGAAGAGAAGGGAGGGAGGGAAGAAGAGGTGGTCAGGAAGAAAAAAGACAGGGAGGGAGGAAGAGGTGGTCAGGGAGAATGAAAGCAGGGAGGGAAGAAGAGGTGGTCAGGGAGAAGGGAGGGAGTGGCGACTGGAAGGTGGGTAGTGCAGGGTGAATGGTGAAAATTAATCGGTAATTGGCCAGGGAGGAGCATGAACCACACCTGAGAGACTCGCTGCGGGATCCCTGTGTGCCACCCCCAACACGCACTGCCCAGAAAGAAAGGCTTCAACCAACCTAAACAAATTAGCTATAAAGCCATGAAAAGGTGGAGCAGAGATGGGCTTGAGAGAGAGAGAGAGAGAGAGAGAGAGAGAGAGAGAGAGAGAGAGAGAGAGAGAGAGAGAGAGAGAGAGAGAGAGAGAGAGAGAGAGAGAGAGAGAGAGAGAGAGAGAGAGAGAGAGAGAGAGAGAGAGAGAGAGAGAGAGAGAGAGAGAGAGAGAGAGGAGAGAGAGAGGAGAGAGAGAGAGAGAGAGAGAGAGAGAGAGAGAGAGAGAGAGAGAGAGAGAGAGAGAGAGAGAGAGAGAGAGAGAGAGAGAGAGAGAGAGAGAGAGAGAGAGAGAGAGAGAGAGAGAGAGAGAGAGAGGAGAGAGAGAGAGAGAGAGAGAGAGAGAGAGAGAGAGAGAGAGAGAGAGAGAGAGAGAGAGAGAGAGAGAGAGAGAGAGAGAGAGAGAGAGAGAGAGAGAGAGAGAGAGAGAGAGAGAGAGAGAGAGAGAGAGAGAGAGAGAGAGAGAGAGAGAGAGAGAGAGAGAGAGAGAGAGAGAGAGAGAGAGAGAGAGAGAGAGAGAGAGAGAGAGAGAGAGAGAGAGAGAGAGAGAGAGAGAGAGAGAGAGAGAGAGAGAGAGAGAGAGAGAGAGAGAGAGAGAGAGAGAGAGAGAGAGAGAGAGAGAGAGAGAGAGAGAGAGAGAGAGAGAGAGAGAGAGAGAGAGAGAGAGAGAGAGAGAGAGAGAGAGAGAGAGAGAGAGAGAGAGAGAGAGAGAGAGAGAGAAAGAGTAAGTTTTGTGTGTGTGTATTGGGGATTAACTTAATTGGAGAGAGAGAGGGAAATAGGGGTTTAGTAAAGACAGTGGGATTGTAGTTATGTTGTGGGAGGTAGGGTGGGAGGAAAGGATAATGAGTAGTAGTTAGGTTGTGGAGGGAGGGTGGGAGGAGTAGTGGGGATAAACCTTCAAGTTACTCGAGGGAGAGTTTCTTTGACGTATCATAGGTGACAGGGAGACAAATAGATTTTCATTTTCTTGTGAGATTTTTGCTTCAAGTTACTAACCAAGAGTCTAATTTCAAACCCACAAACAATATCTCTCTCCAGCCTACATGCTTGGTGGTGTTATTATGTTAGACACCATAGTGGAGTGCATTGTCCCCTGGTCCTGAGTGAGACGGCAGGGAGCATCAGCCGCCCCCAGACAAACACATCTCTACATCCCTTGGTCAACACAGACATGTGAGGTACGCACCACCACACACTGAGCCACAGGCGGGCCCTTCCTGGAAGTCCCAGCGGATCATCCCGCCAAGCCCCACTTGTGCAGGGACGCGCCACAAACCTAAACACTAACACACGCTGTGCCTCAACCTCTTGTCACCTCCATCAACAAGATGGGTTATAAGTTACCAGTCAAAACATTGTCAGACATCAGACAGACATATCAAAGATGAGAGCCACCTATAAAAAGAGTGCAAGCCTAAAAAGAAAAAAAAAGAAGTGAAGTAAGTAAAATGAAGAAGGGTAATAATAGACATGGAAATGAGGAAGAAAACTAATGACATGAAAGACAGCATATTAAACTGGTTGGATTTCAGGAGTGCCAAAGAAAAAGATACGAATAATGGATAAATAATAACAACTAAAAGCAGAATGTGTGAACGTCCAGTATTTACCCTTGATTCCATCAACTTTAATCTTTACTCGTATAGCAGGAAAAGGTTGAGAAGCGCGAACAAATTTACTGTACTGTATATAGCATATGAAAGGTAGAGTAAGTAACCTATAATTCAAACCATACCAGGAACATGTGTTTTATTTCATCAGTCATAAATACATCCACAATTAAATTATACACCGATTCCACAATAATACAAAAAAAACGTAATAAGTTTATGCAAAAACTAACTAATCAACAGTGAGCTGGTAGTGACGTCATCATGTGAGATAAAGAAATAACTGTCATGCTCGTTACTTGTAATTAACTCCGGTCACCTAGGATACAGTGGTATGCGAGCAATAAAAATATCATCAAAGCCATCTGCACAAAGACTTGCTGGTGCCATTCAGGAACACAGTTGGCAGTTGGCTAATCAAACAATCATTTGTTGCTTCATTCAATATGGTGAAGAAGCACACAATATTAAAGGCCATTTGACTTAGACCGACTTCAAAAGCTGAACTTGTGGAATATTGAAAGCAGGTGAGTGTTATTGGGAATTTTTGTTTTATGAATTTTCTTTTATTTAAATTATCTTAATCAGAAAACCAAAGGAATAAAACCCCACATATATACCATATACATTTAGTAATTGGTATTAAAAGAATCCTTACCAATTTCATATTTCCCAAACAGTCATCCTGTCTCTATAATAAGTTACCTAATTTATGATCAAAACGAACATACGCAAAATATCACCACCACCGTCTTACAGCCAGTCTTCACACCAATGAGGGTTAACTGTAATTATTACACAGTCTCTTGCATTCTTTTTTCATGTGCTTATCTCTGAGGTAATTTCTTACAGCAAATACTGTACCCATTTTCATCTGCAACATTCACCCATGCCACTAATCATTACTTTCTTCAACATATTAATTCACATACCCTGACTCTATTCCATCCTTAAATTTCTCCACTATCTTTTCAGTATTGTCAGCTATGAACACAAGTCATCAATATACAACTAGCAAGAACCATAAAACAGATACTCACCCTGCCAACATTGTGTAGAGGAGCACTCCTAAGCTCCATATGTCACATGCAGCATCATAGCCTTGTTTCTTCAATACTTCTGGGGCAACAAAGTTGGCAGTGTAACATGGCGTCATTAGAAGCCCATTCTCTGCACGGAGTTGTTTGGCAAAGCCAAAATCACATATCCTCAATGATTCTGGACTTCCCGAGATGTCAGCATACATAATATTTGATGGCTTAAGATCCCTGTGGACTACCTGATGAAGAAAGAAATTAAGAATATTACAATACAATCATCATGTATGTCCCGACGGAAGAATATACTGTATTAACACAGACAATAATTACCACTTCCCCTTTACAATACAGGTTGACAACCCTTTATCCGAAATTCCAAAAACCGAAAGTTTTTTTGTGGAGCATTTTTTTTTGGGGGTAACAGCCCACCCGGGCACAGGTCACTGACCCACATCGGGGCCTGGGGGGTGAAAATGTAATAGTAATAATAATTATAATAATAATAATAATTATAATAATAATAATAATGATAATACAGTAATAACAATAATTATTCATAGTAAATAAAATTTTTAATAAAAAATACACAAAAATAAAATAAGAATGATAACAATAATAATAATAACAATAATACTGTAATAATAAAATAATAATAATAATAATAATAATAATAATAATAATAATAATAATAATAAAGGAATACAAGAATGAAAAAAAGATCAAAAGTGAGAAACACGACCTACAGTAGACCTATGAATTATTATTATTATTATTATTATTATTATTATATTTAAGCCCCCAGGCCCCAATGTGGGTCAGTGACCTGTGCCCAGGTGGGCTGATCCCTGTAAAAAAAAAAAAAAAAAAAAAAAAAAACCCTAACCATTCTGAAAACCGAAAAATTCCAAAAACCGAAATGCATCTGGTCCCAAGGATTTCGGATAAGGGATTGTCAACCTGTATATACATTTACTCATTATGTATCAAGAACAAAATTATTAACTCAATATAAAAAAAAAAAATTTTGAAAATATTGCAAGTGCTGTTGCTGGGTCTCTTACTTGAAGTGTGATGCATACAGTGACTAGTGACTAGAGCATTTGGACATAATTCTGTCGAAACTACCTGTAGCTACATCAATTTGTGTGAAGAAAAATGACACGCCAGATACAGTTTTACATAATAATCAAGAAAAGTAACAACAAATGATAATTGTAATAAAAGTATGGTTAAGCTCAAATTAATAGTTATAAGTATTATAATATTGTTTACCTGGTCCATGCATCACAACAATGGAGAAAATAAAGGGGCTGTTCAACCACCCACTGATGGTTCTTGTCTCATCATTTACTGTACTATTCTACACTAAACTTTATCCTTTACTATTTATAATAACTATCCTTTACAGTCTTCCTTCAATTCTACACCTCTTTACCTCTTCCTTCTCTCATATTCATATAATTTTTCCTTTCAGGTATATTTCTAACTTTGTATGACCTCGCCGTGATATCAATTCAGAACAAAAAGAAACTTCACAGGGTACAACATGTTTCACTTATCTTTCTTTCTTCCTCTTTTCTTTATTGAATTTTTAGCTTTTCCCACATTTATATTGCTGTGACAGCTCTCATTCTTTACACAGCTCTGATACTTGGTGTAAGGTAGAATAAATATATTTCATTAGTGACTCCCAAACCAACAAACAAAACCTTTCAAAATCTAGGTGCTGATACTAAACTTTCACAATTAAAACTCTGTATTAGTCTAGTAACCACAGAGTTTGGGTAAGATTCCTTCAAGCACTACCCCCTGTAAATGCAATGGAAAAAAAGACAAACATGACTTTGTATTATAGATGAATAGAAAAATTATACATACCCCATTTTGGTGCAAGTACTGGACGGCATTAGTTAAGGTAAGCAACACAGCTGAAGCTTCCCTTTCTGAGAAAAATTTCTGCCGTAGGATCTTGTCTAGCAGCTCCCCTCCCTTCATGAGCTCCATCACCAGGTACACATGTGCATCATCTTCATAAACCTGAAACAACAAATATCATAAATCAATAATTTCATTTGAATCCAATAAAAGTATTGTCTCAGGAAATGTGATGAAAATTCAGTACAGGTATAATATGTATGAAAAGAGTAATAAAATATTATATACAGTATAGTTAAGAAATTATTTCCCAATCAGAAACTTGGGGATCAAGAGGCTTCCGTAAAATGGGTAATTATGTAAAATGAATACTATCATGAACTTGTGTCAAAGAAAAGCACATAATAAACCATTGTACTTCTATCAATTTGGTTATATTATTCATTTCTGAAAATACCTGTACACTAACTTATTCATTATTTCCTAACACTCTCAATGTTACTAAGTCTACAAAAAAGTTTTCAATGTGTCATCGTTCTTCTATAATCACCAAATAACTTGCTCCTTAAACTCACATGAAGACTAGTCACTTACACCATTACACACACAGTCACTCAGCCAGTTGCCTGATTTGTGCAATATTTCCTCATTTACTCTCATGTAATATGTGGAAAATTAAAAAGAAGAAAATTACACCTGTATTAAATATTCTTCAACTTTACATTTAGAATGCTCAAATATTCTGTCACATAGACTACAGTAGACCCTCGCCAACCACGAATTTCCCATCTGCGGATTCCATGTATCCACGGCTTTCATTCTATATCATTTTACCAACCACAGCATATAGTTTTCTGTACCCGTGGACTAGTGCAGTGTCTTTATCCTCCGTGATCTAATGTATTCCTCCATGCAGCATCCCATCTCTTGCCATTGCTCTTCCCACTATCTCAGTGTTGTGATCTCGTAGTGTACTGATGTACTGTACTGCTCCGTATTCTCTTACTTATCTCCAATAACATTGATTTTACCCTTAACTATGGCCCTAAGCATTCACTGCGAGTTAGTGATAAAGGTGAGAAGAAGGTGAAAAGGGCAAGGAACGTAATGACATTAGAAAAGAAAGTTGAAGCGTTTGATAGACTAGCACATGGGAGAGTATAGCATCAGTGGGATGTGCTATGGGCCTCTGCCTCCCTCTTCCTTGTAACAACCACCTCTTCCGCCACATCATATTCATTGTCATCCACTATTGTCATCAATGTTGTGAAGGTAATACCCCTGTAGTACTGTAAAATTTGTATTACAATTTAATTTATATGAATCCATTTTATATGTATTTGATTCAAATTTAATTAAATGTACAATACAGGTATTATTTAGTGAAAGAACAGGTAAACTTAGTTAGACTTTGACAAGTGTTATTCGTGGCAGTGGAACATAACTCCCTATTTCCCTCAAGCCTTTAGTCTTGCCAACTGTGGATTTGCCAACCACAGGGTTTTTCAGAAACCTAACCCCTGCGGTTGGCGAGGGACTACTGTATTTCAATTGGTAGATTTTTGTATGACAGATACTCTAATCTACCAGAATTAATTAATTTAATGTTCACTAGGACCTTAATTAGTGTTGAGCTTAAAACACTTTCAATTTCTTTTTATCTTCAAAAAATGTAGAATCCATTTACACCATTTCATTGCCTGAATAGCTTACCGGTAGCTAATATTATTTATTGTAGAAATACAAAAAAATTTACATTTACTAATATCACATACAGTAGAGTGAAATCAAAATAAAACAATGAAAAAGAAAAATTATCAAGGTACCTGTGCCATAACAAAAAAAAAAAAGGGTAAAGTAGTTGGGTCACTAATGTGTCCAAATTTTAGCTTCCTGTCTCAAAACATTACGGAGATGTTGCCTGAACAAGAAAGAAAACAAATGAAGCAGCCACTGAGTACAATACTGTAACTCACTCTTTACCGGTATGTATATTTGCACTGCCTTCATGTATTCATATTCAGTCTTAGAAAAAACATCAGTACAAGTTGAAGGATTCACAACACAGCAGTATTAAAAACCACATTGTATGAACATGTGATTAGTGTGCATCCTCTCGCTTTAACTGCTATCAGAACCTAGATGTGACATTTAGAAACCTATTCAAACTCATCTCACACACCAAACACAAAGTTAAGTTAATATTCTGAAAAGCATAATTGTTTATCAGTAGATATCTCTTTGTATCAACAATTATGAACTTCATCAGCACACTGGTAACATCATCATATACTGTACAGCATATCCTCATAAATATTCAATTTAAGATGTGACTAACATCAAAACAATGAATAAATATGAGGCTATTTCAATTACACAGGTCTCTCCACACCAACCTGTTTCCATGCAAAAAATTCATGTTCAAGCTTACATAAGAACATAAGAACATAAGAAAGTGGGATACTGCAGGAGGCCGACTGGCCCATACAGGGCAGATCCCTTTCACACCCATCCCAGCACTTCCATGTGCCTATCCAACTTCGTCTTGAAGCTCCCTAGCGTCCCCGATCCTACTATAGCACTTGGTAGCCTATTCCACATATCCACAACTCTATTACCAAACCAGTGCTTGCCTATATCCTTTCTGAATCGGAATTTATCTAATTTAAAGCCATTTGTTCTAGTTATTTCGTTATTACTGAGCTTCAGAACATCTTCCATTTTACCCTTGTTAATCCCACTTACCCACTTGAACACCTCTATCATATCTCCCCTAACTCTACGCCTCTCTAATGAATGCAAGCCTAAGCTTTTCAGTCTTTCTTCATATGGAAGGTTTCTAATATTATGGATCATTTTTGTCATTCTTCTTTGTACTCTCTCCAAAGAATCTATGTCCATTCTATAATAAGGACACCAGAATTGAACCGCATAATCCATGTGTGGCCTCACTAATGCTAGGTAAAGTTTCAAGATAACGTCAGCAGTTCTGTTACTCACACTCCTAGATATGAACCCAAGAATCCTGTTTGCCTTGTTGCGAACGCTAATACATTGTTTTCTAGGTTTCAAGTCGTTGCTAACAAATACACCTAGATCTTTTTCACAATCTGAGTTTTCTATTTCCGTGTTACCTAGTTTATACTTAACGTTTGTATTCGTCTTCCCTATCTGTAGTACCTTGCATTTATCAGTATTAAAATTCATTTGCCAGTCTACTGACCACTCATGTAAGGTATCTAGATCTCTTTGAAGGTGTTCAAAGTCACTGTCTGAATTTATCACTCTCCCCATTTTGGTATCATCTGCAAATTTACTAATCCTACTAGAGGATCCCAGTACCACTGTGTTGGATGCCTCATAGAAGAAATTTAATATTAATGCCAAAACCGCAATCAAACTCAATACACCACCTTTGGACAACAATGACAACTACTAAAATCAAGAAACAAATAATTTATCTGCGTCTCATTAAACTATGCTAGCACAAGCCAGAGCCCAGCAATATCTGCCTTCATCTTGATGATAAAAAAACAAAACAAAATATTCACTCATATTCTAAAACAAGAATTTTCCTCACACAAAACAACTTCAACATCTGAGGCACACAGTTTACTTCACCAGCTCAACACTACTCATTCCTGTGATACCGTGTTTAACCTCCCACCAACACAAAGGTTCTCGACAATATCCCAACTACACCTCTCACCACAACTTAGCAACCTCCTTTGCCCAAACAGCATACAAAACACACTTCCTTTTCTATACTGTACCACCTAAAACAAATAAACACATCACCTTTCCTAGCTTTATATTAATATAATATCCAAGTGATCCCAAATCCATTCAATCCACATTCCAATGCTTCCACACACACACACACAACAACTCATCTGTAATCTAACTCCCCAAAAAGATCCATGTGAATGCCACCTCACACACTGCACAATAAGTTTGTGAAAGAAGTATATTCATAAAAAATATAACAAGTGTATATGGTGATATTTGTGTGGATAACTATCAAACTTACACCATGTGTCATAGTATACTGTACACCAAGTTGTCTGAAGATTACAAAGCTTGACTGCAGTTGCATGTATTTCACTAGTTGCATTCTTTTGGGAGGTGACTACTGTCATTTGCTGATCCTTTGCATGAAATGTGGTGATTCTAACATGCTGTATTAATGCAGAACTAAAACCAGACATATTACTTAATTTGACTTATATTCTCCAAAACACAGGTTATGATGACCTATAGAAATTTTCGGAGAAGTGAGTCAGGTGTTAGAAGAGTATTAAGCTCATGATGTCTGGTGATTCTAGTATGTTGTGGTCTAAGTTTTACAAAAATAGAACACACTGTACAGGTTTAGATGATACACTTTCTATAAATTGCATTTAATGTGGACAAAAGCTCTGTATGGCCCGAAACCTCCCAGCATGAAGATAAAGCAACTGACAACATGGTATTTAGTAATCCTTGTGGTATGTAGGTGGAGTAGACACCATTATGGCACCCTCACTAGCTCTTTAGTCCTATGGCCATACCTCATACACTTAGGACCAGAGTCCTATGATGTATGGGAATATGTCTTGACTTTCCCTGCCACATTTCAAATATCCTGGAGCAGCCATGAACCATACAATAATTCCATATGTTAACAGCAGTAATAATTCACTCTTAGAAATTTCACAGCTACTCAGTTACCTTACAAACACCATGGTGGAAGGACGTGTATCAGAGCACGCGTCTGGCAACTGCAAGAGTGATACGCATGCGTCTGGTAGACGCAAATATAACATTAATGCACAGCTACATGGAAGAAATAGATGCAATTTTATAGGAAAGTACCAGTAGTGATGCAAAGGAATATGATGATGGTGATCAGCTTGAGTATGTAAGTACACATCCAGTCATCACAGGTAGATGCCCTTAAGAAAAAATCAAGAGCCTAGCATCTTTGCCTACCACTCTTCCTAGCTTAACACCTGAAATGGAGAGGGTGACTAGTCCAGGGCTTTGGCATTACTATCTATCTCTGTGCACATTAATATTAAATACTCTGTAGTATCCCTGTTTAGTTATGAGCAAAAATTACTCTTGAATAGAGAGTTTAGTTGCCATGGATACCTTACTTAACCCCTACATTACAGGGACGCCACTTTTAATATTTTATTTGGCTAACACTAGACGATTTTATTCAGCTCAGATTGGACCCCATACACAAGGAGTTAATATGACGTGTGGTTCACCCAAGATTAAAAATCATGATTTTTTTTTACAATCACAATATCCCAATAAAAAATGTGCAACAGAGAAAAAAAAATACTGACATAGATTGTAGTACTAATAATTACATGCTTCTAGGTTAAAAATTGGAATGTCACCAAGTAAGTGCTTACACTGAAATTAATAAATACAGTACATTAATATCTCCGTTAGCCGGAATCCGTCAAACCCAGAACTCTCCGATAGCCGGAATTGAAATTTTCTCTGCAAATCATTCCCAAAGCTGGAATTATCCGGAAAATTCCGGCTTTCGGAACGATTTTCCGAGGGTTGCATTTTCCGGAAAATTCCGATAAAATTTTCCCGATACCCAGAAAATTCTGGGGATGGGGGAGTTTTTTCAGGGTTTGAGAGATGAAAATCGGGCACATTTTTCCAGGGATGGGGGATATTTTTCCAGGTTCAAGAGATGATGTAACACATAATTCCTGGAACTTCCGAGAAAATTTTTGTTACCTGGAAAATTCCGGAAAATTCCAGGGATGAGGGATTTTTTTTTCAAGATTCGAGAGTCATCTTGTTTCCCGGAAATCTCTCATTCCCAGAAGTGCTCTGCACCAATTGTTGTGCCTAACGGAGATATCACTGTATATCAAACCCCGACACTAATCTCACCATAAGACACTTGAGTGAAAACTAACTTTGCAATTTGAACTGCTATACTGTACTGAACAATTAAACAAGGTACAGAAGAAAAATGTTTTCAATAAATGATTAAAATGAGTGTGTGATAAATTTCAGTAGTTGGTATGTATGGGAAGAAATGGGTGATATCAGCAAGTATAAAAGACTGGAGCAGTAATAGAGAAAGGGAAATATAGTAAGACTTCAGCTGAGGCCCACCCAGCATGCAATAAGTTGAAGGACAGATAAGTGAGCACAGGTTTCCATCCTTTCTATCTCTCAAAAACCACGTGCTCCCAGGAGTCCCATTCTCTCTCTCAAAACACAGTAAAACCAGCCTACAAGCAGCAGAGACAGAGCAGTGACCATGTTCAGATTAAAAGAGAATGGATGAAGACTGCAACATGAAGATGTGATGACTTTAATTTCATCATTATTCATTATGTCCTTCCAGTACGACACCGTGTCGAGTATCCTTGTGCTGTGAACGTAATTCTATTACATTACATTTACAAATGATTGTCTACCTGAGTGATAAATCAGTGGAATTTCCAGACTCTTAAAAGTCGGGAGATGTTAGTTCATATATGCATAATTTTTGTGTACGTGTGGATATACTGTACAGGTGGAAGGTGATGTGAAGATTATGCCATTAGCAACCCATAAGTAAATTACTTCTTAGCTAATCATGGCCTGTCAAATAACTCCCCTTCCGATTTCAAAATTCTATGAGAATGCAGCCAGGCCAGAGACACTGATGAGGGTAGAGGTGACCTCTGCACTTTCAGCATCCTTCCCTATTCATACATCACACCATTCAGTGCTTTTGTCCAGGAATGAGGAAGTTGACTGTTGTCTTATTGCTATTGCTATAAGACAACCTCCTTGACCAGTGCACTCAGGGAAACAGATCAAGCAAGATGCCTTAGCCAAGACTCTTTGTCTTCCTGCCCTGTTCACACAACGAACCGTTCAGTGCCGTTGTCCATCAATGTGGGAATAGGGATGACATTGTCTACTGAAACGAGACAAATTTCCTGAAGTTCTACCGCTTCACTGAGCAATTTTAGGAACACAGATGAGCTCAGATATAGATGCTGGCCACTCACACTTTCGCATGACATGCCAGTGCCACAGTTATCCAGTAACATGAGGCAGGGAAGGAGGCTGATGACTGTCTACTTCAAACACCCCTCCTCAACAGCTTTGTCATGTTGCTGCCAGCTCTCCAGTGCAATACTGTATCTGTGGGATATGGGTTTACAGCATTTTTTATTGCTGTAAGTATTGAACTGAACAGTGCTTGTGAGATGGTCTGGAAGTAAAAGACCGAACAATTACTTCCCTCCGTCCAGCTGTTAACAGTGAACAGTATGCAATGAAGCAGTCTGGATAGGATTGCTACTGCACTTCCATAATCAAGGCTGGCCATGAACATTCAAAACCACAGTGACTGCAAACACTGAGAAATACAGTGACTGAACACTGAGAATTATCACTTTATACTTTAAAATATGAAATGACTCTGTAGTGAATTACAGGTAGTTCTGCTATAACGCGATAATTGTGTTCTTGTAAAATATCTTGTTATAGAAAATCGCGTAATAGAAATAACAGGGCTTATGGAGAAAATAGGGTTAGGTGCAGATTACTCAAAATCGAGAAAATTTAGTAGTTAGCCTAACACAAAGGATAGCACAGTCTAAAAAATGTTACATTCATATCTAATAATGAAATCATACAGTAAATGTAACACTTTACTTGATGGGGGAGAAGGGTGATTTTGAGGTTGATAAAATCGAGCTTCTCTTCAAGTGTTATATCCTTTCTTTTACGATCATCACCAGGAATTCTATCACCAGAACGCTTCTTGTTGATATTCTTCTTTACTATATTCACAGTTAATACAGTGGGGTATGCTATAACGAACGGATTCTACTACGAATATTCCTATAACGAATGGTTTTACCTATAAAATTGAGAATGCTATAACGAACGAAACTCCTACAACGAACATTATTTAATTTTTTTTTTTTTTCTAATTTATTGTTTTTTTATTACAAATATTAATGATATTCTTTATTTCAGGGGTTTAGATGCATCTTTATGCACTTTTTTACAATTTTTACAATTTTATATTATATTTTTCAGTGTTAAGTGGTTGTATTTGGGGGCCTGGAACGGATTAATCCTATAACGAACGAATGCTATAACGAACAAGGTTCTAGAACCAATTAGATTCGTTATAGCATACCCCACTGTACCACAAAATTGGAGAAATAGTAAGCAAAAATCGCGTTATAGCAAACAAGCGTTCGCGTTATACAAATATCGTTCCTAATTCATAAATCGCGTTAGAGCAAATTCGCGTTATCAAAACACGCGTTATAGCAGAAATCACTGTATCTGGAATAGTTCCCAGTCGGTACACTTCTGTGTTATTGTTGTACTAAGCTTGTAGTGTGATTGGGAATAACTGTGTGAGTGAATTATTACTAACTGCGTGAATATTGTGTAAACTTGAGGAAATATAGTAAATGATCTAAGTTTGTTAATTTTCACCTTGTGCCTCCAGCAGTTTTGCCTAGATTTTATGGTTTTAGGCTATAGTGTCACCCAAGAATAATTTTTTTTCTACTTTACACTAACTTTAATGCCGGGTCAAAACTCAGTACAAATATACTCATTACTTTACAGATATATCACACAATACATCTTCATTCCTCATTCACAACACCTTTTACATCTTCAAACCTATTTCCTTTTTCGAAAAGCCAAACATAGATAGTAAATGCCTCCCATCTTCTTAGACTTGTCATATCCTTCTGACAGAAGACAAAGCAAAGATCAAATCAATCCTGATATATACAAAAATTCGACATTCTTCTTAGTATTACACCCACGGCACTTCCATGAAGGATAGTGGAATGGAGGATGTGGTTGGAGAGATAAAGTTTAAAAATGCAAATTGTCTGACCCCCAAAAAAACAATGACTGGAAAAATAGAACCAAGGTGTGTGGTAGCTGTCTGGAAAAAGTCATATAGAGATAAACTAAAACTTACATCTCGTAAAGAAATTATATTTGAATGATGGCCGTATCTGTAGAGTATCTCAATCTCTTCTTGGCAGTCCCGAGTCTTCTTGGGTATAATTTTAACAGCATATTCTTGCCTAGTTACCCGGTGGACACAACGTCGACAAACACTGTAGCTGCCACGACCAACCTCTTCAGAGAGATCATACTCATCATGTATGCTGTTAGGTTTCACACCTGATAATCTCTGTAAAGAAAATTTGACATATAATGACATGAAAAGTAAAGATAATGTATAATATAAAAAAAAGAAAACTGCAAATAGTTTATTGAAAATTATTCAAGCAAACAATTCATTCTCAGGGAATTTTCATAAGATTTGCAGAATGGAAGTTACCTAAACAAGATTAAGCCTGGGAATGCTCTAATATTTGATAACCCTAACATTCAAACCTGACAATTTTGAGATTATTGGTTAAAGTAAGATTACAAATTTGAATGCTAAAGAAAAATAACGAGTAAAGCAACACAATAAAATGAACAAATATCAGTATTTATTGTAATATTTACCTAGTCAGGAGACCAGATACATGGTAAAATAATAGGGACATACATGAATTCATTCCAGAGCAGATGTTACCATGCATACAGAACCTTTATACTTCAAGATAAGGGGTAAAGTATACAAGAAAAATTCTGAGGAAGGATAAAATCTACAGCATCTAAAGATTTTCATAACAAGAATAACATTTTAGGGCCATTTTCCATGCTTGTGTGGGTTGGCCATGATTACCTGAGCAGTGTTAGGCACTTGATTCAAAGCCAAAGATAGTTTTGGAATGTAGTAAAAAGTTTTTATAAGACTGGTGTAAAAATGAGACCTTCACAGTGCCTGCTATAAAACAATTACTCATAGAAATGAGATCTTCACAGGAAAGGGGTTAAGAATGTGCTTAAAAGAAATAGAAAAAGAGCACCTGATATACAGTACCTTGCTAAGTGTTGTCTTCTCAGCTGGGTGTGACTGCATTATCTCCACCCCATCAACTTGATCATCTAATAAAAAGGGCGCTACAAAGCTGAACCCCTTAAACATTTGATGGGCATTGGCACTTGGAGGAACACCAGGAGAATCTGAAAATAGTTTTCAAATTTAAAACTACACAATTGTAATAGTTTCACAACATGCCATTTTGGGGTTTCAAAGATGAAAAATCACAAATGCACATGGATATTTTCATGTTTGTTTCCAAGAGGCTATATGCATATTTGAAGAATCACAAAACCTGATCGTCACTTCAGGAACAACTTTTCTCTCCATGGTCGAATTACCTTAATGTTTACTATTGTTGCATACAGTACTGTTCTAGGTAATCCCCTTTACTAATGCACTTACAGGGGCTCATCAGGTTTTGTGCAGTGTAGCAGCCCTGTGTTTGTTTACATTTGACAGAAGGAAACCCGCAAGATTAAGCATAGTATGGAATCAAAGTAAAACAATTTTAAAACAAATATCTCACTGTAATGATTTGTGGCAATGTTTTTATGACGAGCCCCTGTAAATGCACCATTGGAGGGAACTGTACATTGGAAATTGTAAACCTGCACAGTGTATGCACAATGAGAGAATGAAGTATCTTCCTGGGGTTTTGACGAATACATTACAGAATGGTTGAGCCATTCAATACAGGAATGTGTGGAGCCAGTAAATAGTTGGCAGGCTTAATGAACCTAGGAAAGGGGTCACCAATGACACCATTTACTGTGTTCGGTAGTCAGGTTTCATTATAATTCTGCCAAAGCTGGGAAGATACTTCATTATCTCACTGTAAACAGTGAACTGTACCTGCATTATCTATATACCTGTACATGCCAAACCAATGGTAAACTTGTATGACAATGTTACTAAATAAATATCATTGTTACTACTGTATAATAATTATCATCATGCCAGACAGAATTCATCATTCCTTTTATTGGATACAAGAGATCACTATCATAATAAGAAAAGCATTCCCAGAACATATTATATGGATTTTTGTCAGTAATCCTGTCTCCAATGGTTCAGGGGTTTATCAACATGACCTTGCTCCCTGTCACACATCTTTAACAGTTACTCAATACAGTACTGTACTTGCAAAACAAGAATATAAAACTGCTTAAGTCGTCAGAAAACTCACTGATTGAAACCCAATTGAAAATCTCAGGGCCATCATCAAAATATTATTGATAAAGCTGACAAAAGTGTATTTTACAACCAAAATCAACATTCTTGGAGCAGTCATCAAAGTATGGTTCAAAGATGAAGAAATAAAGAACCTGTGCCAAGCCTTGGTAGACTACCGTATACTAAAACATGTAAAATAAGTCTTAAAACACCACAGTTGTCAAACAAAATATTAAATTAACATATTTTGCAATAAATTTGCATGGTACTGTACAATGTTTGTTCTGTAAGGCATTGAAAGATTAATTATAAAATGAATCTCGTATTTCGAAGAAAAAATTATGTTGCATATATATATTAATTATCTATATATACAGTATATATCAAACTAACCTTTAGGTGTCCTTGTGGTGAACTCTTGATCAAAGTAAAATGTATCGTCTGCTTTTGAAACAGCAGGCTTAAAGGGTGGTTCAATTTCCTTACTATACAGTTTGCTCCAGTCAATGGATGAAAAGAATGGATGACGCTTTAACTCTTCTACTCCTTCTGGACCTGTGGAAATTTCTTAATATTATATCTCTGATAAAAGTTTGTTCAGATATCATATTGTATACAGTACAGTATATGACCACAGCTTTACATTAACAAAGGATATGCAAAACTCCTAATTAGAATAAATGGAGTTTAGAAGATTATTATCTGAAAACTATAAAATTACTGTTCACAAGTTTTTCTCAATACTAGAGAATATTTTTGTCCTTTGTAGCCAAGATCACGAAGAAAAAATCAGTAAAATTTTGGAGAATTACATGACAGTAATAACAGTAGAATGATGCATCACTTTGGATATTGCCAAATATAAATTCTTTTAATTACAATATAAGAAAAATGGCAAAAGTTACAACTTTTAGAGCACAAAAGGACTTACGAAATTTAATCTTTTAGCAGTAATAAGCTGTGGTCACACGTAACAGTACTTCGCATCTTGAAATAGCTGTTACCTTTCAATGGATTGTGTACATTAATCTTTTGAGTATGATAAAACCTATGAAAGACATCAAAGAATCAACTTAATATGTACTGTACAGGTAAATGAGATGAAGTATTATGAATCAATCTAAAAGGGAAGAAGGGACTGCAAAGGTGGCAAACACATATCACAAGTGTTTATGTTGCATAACATGGCTAAAGAGTGAGATACAAAGGTCTGTATACTACAAAACAATGATAAGCCTGAAGTATAGTGATGATATTTGCAGATGAAACAGTTGACTGTATGAAGAGTGTAGATGTCACCAAAAACATGTCTTGAATTAATGAAAAATACAACTATCATAAATTTGAAGAGAAAATATGAGTAACAGATAACAGAAATTCTTTAGAATTACAATATACCAGAAGAAAAATAATACAAATGAATTACTCTTACACAAAGATATGTGTCTATCAAAGGCCTCCTCCTCCACAAATAAATACTATGAACTTAAAAGTAAATTCATATATAAAACTCAACCAGTCCATTAAATTCTCTTACATGAGTAAAACATAAATACACCTCAACATAGTGGCTGTGGCTTTACAAACATAAATGAATTATTTGCTTCACATACCTGCACCTAATCTGTTGGCTGGGTTCCTTTTGAAGAGTGCCCGGAGGAGAGACTGTGCCTCTGGGCTCAGGTACGCTGGCATCCCTAGCTTAGCTTTAAGAATTAATGTCATTGTTTCCTTCCTGTTTGCACCTTGGAATGGTAAAGCTCCTGTCAACATCTCAAACTGTAAAAAGGAGTTATAGTAAGAGATTATCACAGGAATGGCATTAAAAATAACACTTGTAAATCATAAGATTTTAATAATGCACTTAGTGGCACAATTTGCGACTAAAGACCACAAGAGAGTTAATGAATGTAGACCACGGTAACTAGCCCAAATTATTAAAATTCCCCAAACCTTTTCAGTATAGTATAACAATCCATTTTTATGAGTATTATTTAAAGGGATATTATCATTCATCATTTAACACTACAGTTTCATGGTTTCGTGGAGAAGAAATTGTTCAATAATATGTTCATAGACCAAGGTTTACATGTGGATGTGTTGGTCAAGGATTCCTCTCAAGCTTTCCTCTAAGTCCCACATACAGTACTTGGATATCCTTAAAACCCAACTACAATACATGGTGTGACAAGCAAACCATGGGTGAATTAAATGGCTTCTAGACAATGTACAGGTATGTGTGAAAGTAACAAGTCAGGAATGTATGCTTTGTGATAAATTAAGTCTCTCAGATTCTTTTATTAGCCAAAGTTGCAAGTATTCTGCTGACATCATTGTTTTTTATTGTTTTGATGGCTTTTTATGCACTGAATCCAGGCAGCAAAGTACCATACTACCCCAATCAGCCCACAGATGACAACAATACTCCATGACTTATTTTCATTTATATTCACAGAAATGTCAGCATCTACTTCAATGATTTTAAATAATTCATGTAGATCCACAATGAAAACGTGGATAAGATAAATCTTGATAAAATCACACGGGAAAAGGGAAACAACGGAGCACCTTAGCTTTCGTCTTTATTCAAGACATCTTCAGAGGCAACTGAAGATGTCTTGAATAAAGACGAAAGCTAAGGTGCACCGTTGTTTCCCTTTTCCCGTGTGATTTTATCATGATTTTAAATAAAAGTGAAATTGGTGGCTATAAAACAATATATTTCCTTCATTAATTATAATACCAAATAATATGTTGATAATGAAATTCATAAGAGTAATACTGTACTGCAATCAATTAATGAAGATTTTTCTTAAAACTCACCAAAAGAACACCAAATGACCACCAGTCTGCAGCTGTGTTGTGCCCCCTGCGGTTAACCACCTCTGGTGCCATGTATTCTACTGTGCCACAGAAACTATATGCCTTCTGGTCATCTAGTGCTTCCTTACACAGGCCAAAGTCTGTGAGGGATATGTGGCCATCTGCATCTAGAAGTATGCTGCAACACAAGAAGACAATCAAAATATGACACTTGGTAGTGGCATTAGTGAATGAATTGTAAATTAAATTTTGTTTTCATAATTAAAGAATGTTTGATATTTATTTCAGATATCTTAAGTGGTGAACAACAATACAGTAAAGCAGATGATTAAAGAATAATCCAACAACTTACTTTTCAGGTTTTAGGTCTCTGTAGATAACACCAACTGAATGAAGATGATCTAATGCTAATGCTAATTCTGCTAAATAAAATTTAACATCCTCTTCTGTGAACATGATCTGAAATAAAGAAAAAATTATTCTTAAATATCATTTCAACCTACAACCACAGCAGTATGCAACTTAAGATGGAGAATATTACATGTTGGTAACTGTGCAAGTGGTTCACTCTTTTAGGGCCACTTAGCAAGTATTTTCACTTGCAATTGAATGAGAGCCCTAACCTAGGTTAGTAAAAAATACCGACACCACCACCATCACATTTCCACAGGCTTTCAGTTACCCCCTCACACCAAAACAATTCCATTTTCATTTTTTTTCAGCAGTGGAAGAATTTTGCTGAATACAAAAAGAAAGTGAATTAACTTGTGATTAAAAAATATACACACAGTGGACACTAGTGGACACTTGTTAACTGACTGGTTAATTAGTGTAACTGCTACCCTTTTTACTCAAGTGCTATTAACATACAGTACAGCATGTGCAAATCTTTTCATGCTTCGCGATATAAACATTACTGTTTAATGCTGGGTTGTTCTCACACAAACATACAGTACCCTACACATTGCCACCATATGGTCTAAGTCAAACACATTCAGTGATTCAATGTCTAACTGTGCTTAATGTCACTCTTTTCAAATGCATGAAGACCATCATATTAAGGAAGTTCCACTGTATCATATTCCTACAGTAAGAAGCATTAGTTTCAGACATGAATGAGGTCCTTGTGACCAACCTTTAAAAAGTCAGCAGGTAGTGTTAACAGGAAGGAAATGTATGAGGTATGAAGAGGACCACAAAAGACTGGATGTGTCAGGTGTGTTGGAAGTGATCAGGATGTATTAAGGTTATGTTTAACAAGATCAAAGGCAGATAGAATATTCAATAGGGAGAACAGTGTAAGGTCAGGTTTACTGGATCATATTAGAGGGCATTGGAGAGAAGTTAAACTTAATGAAATAAAAATACTATGAAAGAAAATTTACAAGTAGATAAGCAATTTGTAAAATGTCATTATACTGTTCACCTTAAGATTACACTCGCATTATTATTGTTGATCATTTACAGTGAAGTTAGTTTGTACATGATAAAGGTAACCTGAATTTAATGACTTGGTATGCACAGTTAGCATTAATGTAGGTTAATGCAGAATAGTTTTTTACCTCTTTTGATAGTCTTGTGAAGAGATCTCCGCCCCTCAGGAAATCTAGTATGAGGTAGAGTTTTCCCTCCGTTTGGAAGGCATAGTGCAGCTTCACTACGAATGGATGATTAACATCTGCGAGAATATCTCGTTCCATCTTGGTCCGCACTCTGTCACGCACTGTAAATAAAAAAGAGCTTTTTGTACCTCACTCATGGACATGACATACACTGCATCACCATTAACTTGAAGAGATTCAATCTATAAAAGTACTACTGTAGCTACAAAATATGTATAAAAAATATACGTTTCAGGTAGTAAACCAACTGAGGATCTCTGACAAACTTGTGACTTACAAATACAGTACAGGATGTCTAACTAAAATGATGAATATTGCTGTTGCTTGTGTAATCTTCTACATGACTGGAACAACTGGTTTGAAATGCTTGATGCTGAAATGCTTTTACACTTAAATGATTAGTATTGTACAGCACTTGAAAAAGAAAAACATCAACTCACCCTTAAGTGTGGCCTTCTTGAGCACCTTCATGGCATATAGAGTACCAGTATCCTGACCACTTATCTTTCGCACCAGAAAAACCTGAAAGAAAAAATTACATTATTGTATCTAGAATTCAGTGACCACACACGTTTCAATAAACTATAGTACTGTAATACTGTACCTGTACTGTCTTAATAGACAAGTGAATGTAATTCCTTGTATATATTAAAGAAACAAGTACAGTACATTGCTCCTATGTAATGCAATCTATACAGCAATTGTACAGTACTGTACACCACTACTTTTTCTTTATATCAAATGTAACCTGATCCAAGCAATAGGACTCCAATGTCAATACAGAACAATAATACAGTACAATATAATACAGACTGCCATATTTGATTCTTGGAGGATGTCAAATTCAAAACTACAATTATATTGTACAATAGACAATAAACAAAATTATGAATATGTTGATATTTTACTTATTCTGGGCTGTAGCTTGGCTGTTGATAACCAACATATCTAATTTGTTCCTTAGATCAAATCACAAATTACTGATCTTTAGAAGCATCAGTATCCTGGATATTTATTGCATTCCACACAATCAATGGTGATAACATATACAAAATTTTAATTAATTTGTATACAAAAAATATTCAAATGAACGTTCACAAGATCTTTGTATAAATTCCAATTCAGAAATGCAAAGCCAATCACCTTCACTACAATAGTACAAATCATGAATACTTTCAAATCCCCCCCAAAAACTTGTTCTAATTGAGGATGTAAATTCATATAACACAAACAATGGGTTTACCTATAGCTACCAAGTACCCCAGAAACAAATTATTATAGTAACTTTAGTTATTATATGGTGGGAATTTGCAAAATCAAACGAAATCAAACAACTTCTGGTGTTAGCCACTGTACTGTACTGTACAGTAATGTACATTCTCAACAAAAACTTCTCGAACACTTGGGTACGATGGATGTGAGAATGAGCAGAATGGGGCTAGTCAACTTAGAATAGTTTCAGATTCTTCGTTCATTTTTTCAAACTCCATAGTGTGTATAGCGTTCGAGAAGTTTTTAGCGAGAGTGTACCTGAATTGTACTATGATTTTCATGTTACAAAAATCTTTCCAGACATTCTTATGCTACAGGAATTTTAAATATCATGACACTATGTCCTGCCACAACTAAAAGTACATTTACCTTGCCAAAGGATCCTTGGCCAAGGACTTTGAGGAGTTCAAACTGGCTGGGGTCTGCCTTCTCGTGGCCTTCAGGCATAATCTCGCATAGCTCAATCTCGTGGGTGCCATTGCATTCACCATCTGCTTCCTGTTGGGAAAACAAAAAATTAATACCACATTATATTGTTACTATTAGTCCACCATTATTATGCTAACAGTATCACAAAGGTATTATATCAGATTAGCTCCTATAAATATCTTGGAATTTGTGTGAATGATGCAAACTTTGTCAGCAACCTTCGTGACAAACTAATGCAGCGCATTAAACCCCTCAGAACCCTTGTTGGCAAGGGCTATGGAATTAACATCACCTATGCTCGTAATTTCTATCTTCACTTCATTCGTTCTGTAGTTGACTATCATGCTCTCCATCTTGTGACTATTCCGCCTAAACAACTCAACAGCCTTGAGGTAGTGCAAAATGAAGCCATGTGCATCATACTAGGTTGCCCAAAATCAACCAGAATTGTAAACATGAGGAAAGAGCTCGGACTGCCCTCCCTATCTGAGAGGATAGCCCTACTTAATACCATGTTTTGTGTCAAAGTTTTGAAGAACAATGGTTCTCAAACTACAGCTCAAACTGAGTTGATGTTCTATCTAAGTAATCCCGACCATCTTGCCAACCTTCCACAAAAGACTCTCTTTGGGGCGTGGCTTCATAAAAGTGTTGCAGATCTCTTGAAACTGAATGTCCCAATCACCCCAGACGAACCTATAAATGCCATTCCTCCTTGGCTGGACATATCAGTTCCTATTAATTACACTCCTGTTGGTAGTAAGCAAATGTTAAACACCGATGTGGTGAGATGTGTCACACTAGAAACTATTAACAGACACATAGAGAGTATTCAATCAAGTGAATGTTATGCTTTTACTGATGGTTCTGTGCAGACAAACACAGGTAGAACAGGCTGGCAATTGTAATATATTAAGAAAAAGAGATGATAGTGTCAAACAAACAAAGGCTGAACAACTGGGCCAGCACAACACAAACTGAACTAACTGGAACCTACTTAGCCACAGACTACCTCAAAGAAAATGGAGGTGGGGCGATATTTTGTGACTCTCAAAGTGCTTTGAAATCAATGAACAGCCCGTCAGGCTCTATGTCTAAAGTTGCATGTGATATTAAAAGGAATGTGATAACTGTCAATGAGAACAACTTTCGTATCGAATTTGTGTGGATTCCGTCCCATGTTGGAATCAGGTATCATGACCGTGCTGATAGACTGGCCAATGACGCATGTAAGAAAGAAAATGTTGACCGTGACCTTGGTCTGTCCAATGCTGTAATTAAAAACATTCAAGTCAGAATCATGAACTCTGATCTAGAAGAAGTGAGAAATGCAGAGAGACCTGACAGTTGTAGCATTAGTAAATATGACAAATTTTGTAACAAGAGGTACCGGTATGGCCAGCATAAGGACAGAACCAGACAATGTGATGTAGTCGTGGCCAGAATTAGGCGAGGACACATCTGGCACTATATAATTGAATGTGACACTGTCAAAGACTTCAGGCCACCTGACTTATTGTATCTTGAACTATGTAATTACTTCATTGAATCAGGTGTGCTTGAGGACATTCTTGCTGTTTATCCCAAATTGGTGGCCGGTAATAAAGTCACAGGAAAAAAAGTTACAGAAAAAAAGTCACAATTTTGGCTAGGAAAAAAAGTCACAATTAATTTATGGTGGCCGGTAATAAAGGTTAGGTTAGGTTAGGTTAGGTTAGGTTAGGTTAGGTTAGGTTAGGTTACTGAAACTGATTGACATATTAACCTTAAAAAATGTGAGAATTCGATAGTTAACTTTTCTTTTTTTCCTGTGACTTTTTTACCTGGATTCGATCCACTGACCTATATATGCTGCTGGTGAATGTGATGTATTTCCTTCTTTGTGTACGAACCTCTGTCCTGCGTGGCAGTGAACAGTGGCATTACCCACATGAATCTGACCTATATATAATGTCAATGAATATGATGCATTCTTTGTGTACGAACCTCTGTCCTGTATGGCAGTGAAAAGTGACATTACCCACATGAATCTGACCGACGTATATGTACGTATGTGTGCGTGTGTGTATGTACATGTACATGTATATGTGTGTGTATGTATATATGTATATATGTATGCATATGTGTGTGTGTGTGTGTGTGTGTGTGTTTACATATATGTATATGTACTGTCAATGAATATGATGCATCTCTTTGTGTACGAACCTCTGTCCTGCATGGCAGTGAACAGTGACATTACCCATATGAATCTGACCTCTATACATTTATAGTTGTTAATGAATATGATGTATTTCTTTGTGTATGAACCTCTGGCCTGCATGGCAGTGAGAAGTGATACCACCCTCAGTGTCAAGACCTGACTGAATTACTCAGAATATATCAGATTAGGTACTGAATTTTGAGTAATGAAATATTAATTATTCTTTGGGTAACAAATTGGAGAAATCACTGCTGTTTAAACACTTCTTCATACTGTACAGTATTAAATACTGTACCTGAATAGTGTAATAGAGGTAACACAGATACTGACTAACGACAACATTATTCATTCCAATAATACCACCTAACCAACCAAAGAAAACTAACCTAACTTTACTTAAACTCCCTAGCCGAGGGGTGGGCCCCCTGGCCATATTAAACAAAATATATACAGTACTTATTTTGATATCTGGTACCAATGAAAGCAAAATTGTTGAAAATTGCAGTTTCACTACCAATTGGTTTTTGACCAGAAATCTGGGTTTTCCCGTGGTACTTGGTGTGATTCATTCGAATCTGGGTAAAATTTTAGTTTCGGTCATCCCTGTATTATAGATATTCAAACTATGTTTTTCTAACCTAACCACAGAATAGGTTTGTTAGGTTAGGAAAGGCTTGACTGGCTGGTTTATCTTATTTAAGATAAATCGCCTCCCAGTTGAATGATAAAACTGCCCTGCATAGTTTTTGAGGTTTGTGTATTATTAAGCTTTTCTGGGTGTATTTTGCATGCTGATCTCAAAAATGTTATCCATTTTGCTCAATCAGGTCAGAATTTTGTGCTATAGCATTTTAAGCGGAGATTCAGGTAAAATATTGGCATTTTTCGCTCAAAATGGGGTCCTCATATTCGTTCATTAAAAAAATCATCCGAGACATTGGCAAGCCTCACAGAAAGGATTTCGGTCAGTTTTAATGCCCTTACGATGCATTTAAATACACCCACGTGCTCGCCGGGCTTTTAAATGTCCGCCGTGACGCAAAGGAAAAGAGTATATGTCCGTGTTTTTTTACATATATTTTTTCACAATTAAATTTCTTTTTCATCTGGTGGCACATGGCATGTTTCCTCTGTCTGTGGGATAGTCGAGCAGACAAGCAGCACTACATGCAACGTGACTGGCCTGCAAGAAGTGGACTTACTCCAGGTTCTCACAATGTTGTTGCCCATGCTCTGGTGAATCCGCAGAACATTCTTCTTCCGCCACTGCACATCAAGCTCGGTCTGTTCAAAAACTTTGTAAAGGCACTGGACAAAAAAAGCCAGGCTTTCAATTTTCTGAAAGAAAAATTTCCAAAAGTCAGTGAGGCAAAGCTGAATGCAGGAATTTTTGATGGCCCTCAGATCAGAGAGCTTTTCAAAGATCCCAAGTTTGATTGCAGCATGGATGTAAATGAGAAGAAAGCCTGGCATGCCTTTTAGTCTATTGTCTCCAATTTTCTTGGCAACTACAGAAGTCCAGAGTAAGAACGAGTTGTTGAGGACCTACTTCTGAGCTACAAAGTTCTTGGTGCAGGCATGTCCATCAAGATGCACTTCCTCAGCTCCCACTTGGACTACTTTCCAGAGAACTGTGGTGATGTGAGTGAGGAACAAGGAGAACGCTTCCATCAAGATATCCGTGTAATGGAGGAGCGGTACCAGGGTCGCTGGGATATCAACATGCTCGCCGACTACTGTTGGTGTCTGAAACGGGACGCCCCAGACACCAACCACCAAAGAAATTCTCTGCGACAGCCATTTATGCATGTCTAACTGTAAAGGCATCTATGTAGTTGACATATTTTGGTCCTATGTGTTGTGGTTACATTTCTTATGATATATTTTGCATAAAAATTTTGACATCATATTTAAGAATTTCGATTTTTTCTTAATTCCCATAGCATAAAAATCTGACCTGATTGGGCAAAATGAATGGCATTTTTGGAATCAGCACGCAAAATACATAAAGAATCAGCTAAGAAACCCCACACCTCATGAATTTTTTTTCAAATGCAGCCCAGTGTAATGGTAATAGCCAATGCAAGGTGAGGCTTCAGTGTTGGTTCATGTTTAGGATGAAAAATTGTAACAACAAAAGAAAGAAAAATCAATTCCTCCAAACTTTTCTTGAATAAAGAGGAAAGCTAAGGGGCTTCAACATATTCCTTTTCATATATATATATATATATATATATATATATATATATATATATATATATATATATATATATATATATATATATATAATTACGAAATATTTCATAATTGGTAGTTTTTACTACATAAAAGTAAAATTTTGGGGAGATATCAAACGATAGTCATCTGAGGTGACGTTTAATTACGAGTTCCCCTGAACTGCTCAAATCTTAAATGTAAGGTGCGATGTGACGTCATCAAAGGCAGAAGACCCTGCATGCACTGAAAACGCCAACCTCAACTGTCTCGCTACACAAACACCCTCCTCTATGAACAAGCCACACCACTGCACCTGGATCATACGACAGCTATATATATCCCTCGCTGTAATTACACTCTATACGAAGGTGCTGTGGTGCAATGAACTGGCAATGGTCCTTGCACTTATCATTCAATTGGTTGTCCATTATCCATTCAAGTGTGGCATGATTGGCATCTCATCCCGCTGACTTGCCCTACTCAATAAGACCCGGACTTGGAGTAAATAATCTTTATTACGGGTAAAAGCGCCGGATCTTCCCTGCTTAAGATATCATCATAACTGATGACAGTTTTCTTAGAGCGAATTTAAAAATTGCCCGATCTTGAAATTTCTACCACCATTATAACTACGCCTACAAAAAAATACAAC